TAACGAGACAATAGTTAATAAAAGATTTTATCAATAATAGAAGACAAAATTAATTAAGACCATAAATAATTAGTTTGTGGTTGTGTGGACAAAAGATTAAATCAGATTTTGAAAGTATATCAAAATGAACAATCTTATTTGTAAATATTTTCTATTTCAATGTACAAAATTTATTATTATATTATAGTATACTAACAAATCCATTTCAGATTGAAGGTTTTTCATTATTTGATAACTTTGCTCATAATGTCGAACTTGAGCTTTAATGAAATCTTGCAAGTAGTGGAGATGACTCTTCTGAGAACTTCCTATACCTTCAAGAAGCAACTTTGTAATTTCGGCTTGCCTATCAAATTCTGACTGGGCAATTCTGAGATCACGTTCCGCCTATCAATTATAATTTATTGATTAATGGATCACAAAAACCAATTTACTGTATAAGTTTACATTGATAATATATATATATATATATATATATATATATATATATATATATATATATATATATGAAATTTGATAAAGTTATTTTTCTATAGGAATATTTTTAACACTGAAAAATGCATTATTGTTCACTATTGTCTAACACATACACATTTAATCATTATCAAATAATATCTTTGATTAGTTTCATAGTAAGACATTACCTCTTCGACCATAACTTCTGGAGGTATACCATCCTTCTTTTATTGCAGCATTAAGCAAGCAATTTAATTATTAACAGGTAAATTTTGCAAAAGTTAAATGTATATTTACCGTTTGCTGTCCCAACATAGTCCTTGCTTTCCTAACTCTGTTCTTGCAAGCATCTAAATCTAACCTAATACAAAAGAAATTGTTAGGCTGCAGTTGAATTGTTATATGAAGAAAATATTTTGATATCAATATACCTTTTAGTCACTAATAAATTTCTTTCCTTTGCTACAGCTTTTAAATCCCCATCAATAAACTTTCTCAATGGTTGCGTGTAACACACTTCAGCTGAATTGATAAAATCTCTTTCACATTTTCCTAGTTTTTGTTCAGTTTGACCAATTTTAATGAGTGCTTTTCCATAATCTGTGTACTGACCAAAAGTATTTCCAGCCTAACATCAATCATATATATTACAATACAATAAAAACACCAAATCTTCTTTCTCAGAAAAAAGCTAATTATATTTAATATTAAATAGCTATGCAACTATAACTAGATAAAGATAAGGAACCATGAAAGAGTGATTATGGTAAATAATAATTATTATTAGACTATGGTAATTGAATAAAATAACGAAACCTCAATCATATCTGAGCCCAAATATTCTAGATTACTCAATCTCTGTGGCCTTTTTTTTCAATTTTATCAAATATTATGTCTTCAACTCGCTGACTTGGATTGGGTATGAGAACTGCTTCTGTATCTTTTATAAGCTTTTCTGTCCATTGTTTAACTTGATCACATCTTTCACATAACGTTTCAAAATGAGAATCAAGTTCTGTTTTTTCAGAAGTTCCTAGTTTCTCTTCTGTTAACTGTGAGGAAACAGTTTAGATTGAAATGTTAAACTTGGAAACCAAATGACAAAGAAAGTTATGCATCGCAAAATATTCAATTATTTAATTATTATAACCTGTACGACTCTACTGATTGCACTGCCAGCATCGCGAACAATTTTTTTTACATTAAAATCCATCATGATTAAATTTTTGATTAATGTAATCTCGATAAACTGTCAAGATTGTCAAAATCTTTTAAATATTGATTTCTACAAACATAGTTGGCAGCAATGCGTAAATTTATGGTAAAGGCGCTAAATTCTAAATAATCCTGACTAAAATAATGATATATTAATGCTAAATAATCTAGACTCAATTGTATCAGAAGAGAAGGTAAAAACCATTATTATTATATTGTCTAAGGTTAAAACCTAGACAATAATAAAATAAACTTGAAACAATAATCTAATGAATATATTAGAAAAATAAAATATTCAAAAAAAATATTCAAAAGCCAAACAAATATAAATTATTAGATCAAACGAGATATTATTTATTTACTTTCAATTTATTGATTTGTTCAACAATTAAATTTAAATACTGCAAATAAATATAATAGTATACATATAAGTAAAATTAAATTAAATTAATTAAATCACAATGAGTATGTTATTCCACAGATAAATGTTGCTTCTTGATTCTTTATAGAAAATGTAATTCCATTTTTGCTCCTATATCTGATACAAACTGTTGCGGGTATTGTGCAACCATTGTTGATAATTCATCCATATTCCATTTAAATTTCACTGTATATGGTTCTTTGTTCCGAAAAACAATAGGCTCATTTAAATTAATGTTTAAATAATCATTAAAATTTGCTTTAGAACAGATATTAGTTTCAGCCATAATATTTTGATAATTATCTACCACTTCAACTTTGATATTTTCATTATAGTCATTACCCAAATTACTAAATGGCCACTGAAGATTTGGAGGACTTAATCGAGATGTAATTTTAAAACTATTAACAAGAACAGTTTTGTTTGCAATTATAATAACTTGAATAGAAGGGGTACTAGAATCAACCCACAGGGGATATGATGACTTGAAATATCGGCAAATGCAATAATGCCATACTATGTTAACTTTCTTCCTAGGTGATAATGTTATTTTACTTAATTGAGCATTATTCGTCATTTTATGCAAAGTCTCATGAGGCAAATGATTAATTATAGAATGTATTTTAGAGTAATCACTCATACTCATAGATGAAAATCTGATTTTATGAAGAATTTCACTATCAATTAGTATTTTTTGAACACTATCCATAGATATGTTGATTCCTTGAATATCACATTCGTTTAAATACCATTTGTTTATTATATCAAGTAAATCAATTTCCGAAATATTTATTGTTTCTTGCTTTGCTATTTCAAGCATTGTCAAGGGATGCGGATGATAGTCTGTTTCCAAAAATACATATTTAGGATGTGTGCAGATTACTTGCATTGCAGCTTTCATCAAAAAATCATCATGTATGACTATAGCAAAGTCTAATATTTCCAATGCATTACTAATTGATAGATTTTTCATTATATAGATTTTACAAATACCTTGTAAATGATGTAACATATACTTTATCGAAGCATAGAGTAATTTACAAGCATTTTCTATAGAAGGTATAGAACTTTTATCAGTATAAATGTAGCTCAACATACACTTAAATGCTTCTAAATCAATATCATATATATTAATAACATCAACTTCAGCTAGGGATCCATACAGCATTGCATCAAAAACAGGACTTGCAGAAGCAAGGATTACTCGATGAGCATAGATGTAAGTAGAATTTATTTTGAAAACACAATCACTCCATTGTCTTGATAATAATAGTTTCCCAATTCGATCTTGAAGCTTTACTAACATTGTTGAATCATTTATCTACGTTCAATTATGACAAAATAAATTGATTAATAAAAATTAGGTGATTATAAAGCGTAGTATAGCATAAATACTTACAGAAGGAATATGTTCCATTATTGGGCACTAAAGAAAAATGTAACTGTAAACGATATACCCAGAAAAAACGACAAATTCGAATAAATAAAACCTTGAACTCATAACTGTCAAACGTGTTCTTCAAGGTCTCGCATAATTGCAAACAACAAATTGTCTAAACAGAATAAATCATTGAATATGCGTCTGCTGCTTAGATGACGATTAATGTTTATTTAAAAGTTATTCATATTTTTATTATTATTTTTAGGTTATACTAGTATTCGAATATATAAATATAAATAGTAAAAAATACATGTGCACGAATGTAAATAAAATCATGTTCATATTATTATATTAACATCTACAGCAATTTAATATAAAAAAAACTTTGATGTATTCGTTTTAATCAAATTTAATTTTCATTTTCTATGTTATTAAAATATTTATGCAGAATTATCACACAGAGATATACAAACAGATACAATTATACTTTCTCTCTTAGCCATTATATATCGTTCTCGAGATTTTAGTGTATGTGAAAGCAATTAAAACATTTTTAACCCTTTCGGAGTCCAAAGGGTTAATAATTATTTAAGAAACGGCCCAGTAGATTTATACCAAAAACTAATCAGTACGATACCAAACCAAGAACAGTTTTTGAATTTTTAAATCGGTTCAGGATTTGTTAAAAAGTTGAACGAAAAATTTTAGACTTCTCTACTAAATAAAAAAAAAACAGCTTAGCCGATCGCCGCACAAAACTATAATCCTTAACTGGTTACATCGAATGGCTTTTCTTTTTTAAGTTTAAAAATTAATTCGGCCGTTTTTTGACAAACCGTCGACAAAAAAGGGAAATTGTTCCTCATTTTTCAAGAAGTTAATTAAAAGATAATTGTAATAATTATAATAAGTATTAATATAAAAAATTAAAAAATCTCATTAATTCTCCATTTAATTTTTAAGCAGTAAATGGAATGAAATCTGAAAAAAATTGAATAATGTTCGATTAAATATATTAGAGTATTTTAATAAGTCATAATGAAAAATATATTCCTCCATATGTTAAATACTCATTTGAAATTAGATTACTTTAATGAAATAATTGAAAAAAAAAACAAAGCAATATGAAGAAAAACGAAAAGATGTAAGTTATCGAATAATTTATGAAAACTTTAATTTGTTTGTAAAAACAATTCTAATGCCTAAATTTAATAAAAAAAAATACATTAAAGCTACTGAAACTTTACTGTTTTTACTATTCATAATAATTAATCGAAGAGATTGTATCTGTGTCAGCACTACTATTTAAATAGAAATGTAAAAGTAAAAATTAAAGACATAAGTATAATATATAAAAATTGATTTATATACAAAAGAATTGTAATATTTTTTGCACATCAATTTTCTTGATAGATCATTTTAAAAATTTCAACAAACGATGTTACATATTGTCATATATAACATGGAACAATTTAATTATTATAAACAATTTATCGATGAATTTTAATAGAAAAAATAGTTTTTTTACTCTTATTGATTATTTTCTCCTATTGATGTTCATTGAAGAAGCTAGGTTGATCAAGTCAAACAATTCCGTGTGTTCTGAAATAAAATGTCATTTTCACTTTTTTATTCTCTAATTATTTTATATAATTCTGAATCTGGTGAATAAAAATCAATATAAAAATAAACTGAGTGTTCTGAGAGCTATAATAGCAATCTGAGCAATCAAAACTGTTAATGTAATAATTTTTCAAAGGATTACTAAATGCGCTGTAACAGTAATCAAAAAATTAGAAAGTCAAAGGCAATTTTCTAACTTCATAAAGTGTAAATTTGAACACAAATTTACCTGATAATGTGAGTTTTTAAATTACCCTTCTGAGAGAAGCTTTTGGAACAGTAAGGACAATCATGAGGACGAAGACCAGTATGATGTCTGAAAATAATCAAAATTGTACATTGTATAATTTATATTGTATGTATAATATTATTTAAGTGCATACAACTATAAGATTTCCGAATCGACTGAAATTGAACAACCATAAAAGCGCCATTAGCCAAAGCCAAAAAAATGTTTATCTTTATAACATGTTCTACCCAGCAATTTTTTTTTCAATCTTTATATGGTCGGCACTTGTTCACATTAGAATTTTTCATTTATCAATTTTTATATCTATCTATCTACATGTAGATAATTGATTAGATATAAACCTGAATTAGAGGGATATTAGTATTCCTTACTAAGTATACACTTTGATATTATTTAGTTGGTTAAAAAATTATAATTTGAATGCATTGATGGCCTTATTATTGTTATAATAATTATATAATTTTTATAGCTCACTAATATTATGGTATGTGCTGCTTACCTCATGTGAGTATCCAATCCATTTTTTTGATTAAATGTTTTAGAGCACACGTTGCATTGGAAAGGTCGTTCCCCAGTATGAATCAACTTATGCCTCATTAATTGTGAAGGCTTCTTAAAAGTTTTATCACAGATATCACATTGCTGCATATGTAACTTCTTCTGAATCTATTATAAGCAAATTTAATTTTTTTAATGATTAAACACTATCATACATACGTCATATATATGTATGTTTATTAAATTATATGTATTTGGAATGATAACTTTAAATATTTTAAGAATAACAACCTCAGTTAATATACCTCATAATATCTGCATTTACTTAGAAATATATAAAATGTCTGCTTGTGTATACTTATATATATATATATATATATATATATACATATACATATACATATATATATATATATATATATATATATATATATACAGTACAGGCCAAAAGTTTCCGGACACTTGAAAAAAATCTCATTTTCTGAGTTTTTAGCTATATTTTTCATATAAAAATAATTTTATTCAAGTTGGTTTTGTACATTCTACGTAGTATTAATATTTAGTGACTGATTTGTAACCAATTTGTGAGAAATGATGGACTAATTAGCAATGAAAATGTTAAAATGTAACAGTCGATTTTCCTGAATATGACCACCCTTTGTTTTGATCACTGCAGCGCATATTTTTGGTAATCTTTCGACGAGTTTTTGCAATGTTTGCGCAGGTATGTTCTTCCAGGACTCGTTAAGGCAATTCCACAGGGCAGGGAGGCTGCTTGGAAGCAAATCAGTCAGACAAATGCACTACAGTTCTATTGGATTAAGATCCATTATTTGAAGTATTTTTTCATCTTGTTTTCGCTTCAAATAATTGGCACAGAGTCGGGAAGTGTGTTTAGGGTCATTATCTTGTTGAAAAATAAATTTTGGACCAATTAAATTGAAACCAGATGGAATGGCGTGGCGCTCAAGTATGCTATGATACTGTTCTTTCTTTAAAGTTCCATGTATTTTGACAAGCGATCCGACTCCATTGAATCCAAAACAACCCCAAGCCATCACTGAACCACCACCGTGCTTCACCTTTGGCGAAATACACTTAGAATTGAGTCTTTCATTACCCTTCCTACGTCGATGACTTCCGAAAAGTTCGAATTTTGACTCATCCGTCCATAAAACTGATTTCCATTGATTGATGGTCCAATTTAAGTGGGTTTTGGCAAATTGCAATCTCTTTTGTTTATTTACTGCTCGCAGAAGTGGTTTTTTGAGTGGCCTGAACAATCGCCGGATCTTAATCCAATAGAGCTGTTGTGGGACGAGCTTAAATGCCGCGTGAAGGATTTGCATCCAAGCAGCCTCCCTGCCCTGTGGAATTGTTTTAACGAGTCCTGGAAGAACATACCTGCGCAAACATTGCAAAAACTTGTCAAAAGATTACCAAAAATATGCGCTGCAGCGATCAAAGCAAAGGGTGGTCATATTCAGGACAATCGACTGTGACATTTTAACATTTTCATTGCTAATTAGTCCGTCATTTCTCACAAATTGGTTACAAATCAGTCACTAAATATTAATACTACGTAGAATGTACAAAACTAACTTGAATAAAATTATTTTTATACGAAAAATATAGCTAAAAACTCAAAAAATGAGATTTTTCATGTGTCCGGAAACTTTTGGCCTGTACTGTATATATATATATATATATACATATGTATATATTTATATATGTGCTATATGTAGGTAAATAATCCTATATGACATAAATTCTTATTTATTATAATTGAATCTAAACCTACACAACCTTTATTAAGCGCAAATGAAAAGAAAGTGCGTTTGTTTAGCATATGATTATTTTATTTTATTGTTTAAGAATTAAATATATATATTAGATACCTGTTTCTTTGGCGATGTTGTATCTGCCAATATTTGCTCACTTATTGCATTGAATTTTAAGACAGAATCTTTTGTGGAAACTGATTTTTCAAAAGAGCCTTGAAGTAACTGTACATCCAAATTTTTACATAAATATTCAGCATTTTCGCCAAAGTTGAGGCCACTAACAGTTTCATGATCACCAATTTGCGCATTCTCAATTGTTTGAGAATAATTGCTGATGTTACTTGTAAGTGGTCCCATAATATTCAATACCTTATTCCCTTTAGTAATTATATCTGTGAAAATAAATAAACTGAAATTAATGTACAGTTTACAAAACAAATTTGCGCAGTTTGTTATAGATAGAAAAATGACTACCTCGCAAACAAACATATATCATGAACTCTTCACAAGAAAATAAAATTGTAGAAACACCAATTAACTATATAATATTGATTATTATAAAGTCATATTTAATATGAAATAAGGGCATATCCATATAGTATCAAATCAAATAAAGCTTTACTATTTAACCTTCACCGTTATAGTTGCTATGTATCACTAAGTTTATACATCATAATTCAGAATGCATATTAGTTACTATTTCACTAATGGTATTATCGCATTTCATAAAAATGAAAATCTCATAATTTTAGGGTCACAGTCATAAAATAGGAAGTAGAAGTGCCCCATCCACAATGCGATCATGAAGTATTTCAAATGTACCTTTAGGATTTTTGCCTTCTCTGGTGGCTCCTCTGTAATGAACTAGAAGATGAGCTCGTTTATGTCCAGAAGTTCTAAATGTCATTTTGCATAAAGGGCATTCGAATGGTCGAGAACCTATAAAAATGTTTATAGAGTACTTATTTCTTTCAAAAGATATATCCATATCGAAAATGAATATCTAAATAATCCAAAACATGATAAATTTCATAAATTAGCTATAAAATTATACAAAAATTTTGAATAAAACTGTTTTCGTTAAAGTGTGAGTAACTATTGGGCAATTAGAGTGTAATAAAAAAAAAATGTATATAAATGTTTGATACATTGTGAGTACATATTAAATAGTATAAATTAGTCACATTAGGTATGCTGTAGATTAATTAATTAAAGTCAGCTCACCCGTATGCAATCGCATATGCACCTTCAGACTTCCTTTGGTGCTAAATGAACTATTACAGACACTGCAAACTACTGTTTTATTTGACTTATTGTGGGTAGTCATATGACAATCCAAAGATGTTTTTAGTGAAAATTTCTTATGACATACATTGCATGGGTACGGTTTTTCACCTGTATGCACACGGATATGTCTGATCAAATCTGATGGTTTTTTAAATGATTTCACACAATAAGAACATTTATTTGGATGCTGTGCCGTGTTATTCAAAGTCATTACTTTGTGCTGCAAAAGAAATTAATATATTGTCACACTAGCGTTAATATCCACTAAAAATTAGTAAAAGGCATTGAGTTATAAATTTCTGGAGCTTCACATTTTAAAAGTATTAAATAAAATTTTGTGAGAGCTGAAATTTGTGAATAGGTGGTAGATAATTTCAAAATTTTATTAGTAATAAAATAGTTAGGTTTCATGTAACATTACCGAAAATACTTCTGGAAATTAGTATAGTCAAAATTAATGAATGGTGATGATTCCAGATCTTGCAAAAAAACTAAATCTCGAATTTAAAAAAAATTACAACAGTATTATTAAGACTGTCAAAACGCTTGTTTAGTTAGTCTATGTAATATACAAGTTGTAATTCTCTTAACGTAAAAATAGTCAAAACTGATACCAATTAAATAAATTAAATATGATTGATTATCAAAAGAGTGAATAAGAATAGCTAAATTATGTCGAAAGTAGTTGGAAAACATATGATAAATAGCATATTACAAGATAAATTAAAATTTATATTCATATATTCATATTTCTGCTTATTTCCAATCATCTTTTTTCAAAATACTATGGACTCTCATATAATCTGTTAAATATACTCTAAGATTAGTATGTATTTTACTACAAGATGTAAACAAGAATGTGAGTGATTAAAAACCTATACTCAAAACTACTGATTAAACCAGTAAAATTGGTAAATTAGATAATAGCAAGGTATTATCATTTAATATTCTTCTAACTGAATAGCAATATAAACCATAATCATTATTGAGTTCTATCAAATGGTAATTTGTTAAATGTCGACTAAAGAAAAATTAGCGTTTACATTTGCAACCATAAACAAATACAAACTTTTCCTAATATTATTTATAGCTGTATCTTTACATAGTTTTGTGACAGGTACAAATTCTCAATGACTTCAAATGGCAAGGAAACTGAAATAACATTCAAGAAGTGAATCATGTAAATTTATTTTGACTTTTAGTGAGAGATGAGAATATACATTTGTATAAAATCAGCATTTACATATTTTTCGAAGTTTAGTTTTCCAAAATAAAATTAAAAAACGTACAACCATTAAGAATATCTATGCAGTTTTCATTTTATTGCAAGTGATTTACATTGAATAAATGACTCCTATCAACACCCGATTTTGAATAAATTATGAAATATTGACAAATTAAACACATTTAAAACATATTAAATTAAAATCTTATAAAACGCATAACACATTATATTATTCAATAAACTTTAGAATGTACTAATTTATCAGTTTGAATTTTTTAATGTTTTCAGCAATATTATATTATATTATATTATTGTATTAAAATAATTATCAGAAATATAATAATATTACCTGATTGTTAATGTAGTCTAGAAATGCTTGCTCTGATGCACTAAGATTTTTAGTTTTGCATCTTATATATTTATCTGAATCTGTACCTGTTTCATCTAATTGATTTTCATTGACATTCGGTGAAAATGTTCTTAATGAGTTTGTGCTATAATTGTCTTCAATATCAGGCACATATTTCATTTCAAATTGAGGCTCCATGTTTCTTCCTCTGCCCATGTCATTTTCAGATGTTTCTTGTCTGCAAACCACATAAAAAATATATTTGAATCATGTCTGAATACTATATAAGAATATTATCATACATCCAATTTTTTTCCAATGTATACTTAAAATTTCACACTATATTACTTTTTAGCTTCTCTCAGCTTTGTAAATATATAATGAAAACAATATTAAATTGAAATTTTGAGTGCTTTTTTATATACTATATATTACTGAAAATAATTATAGATATTTGAAATAATAAACTTAGTGTTGTTAATATTTAAGGAAAAAAAATTATCCTGGTTGATTTATCACTAAAACTTCAACTGTATTTTTGCTTCAATTGCATTATTTAGGAATTTTTCAATAAGTCCTGTATTATGTCAAATTTGTTGATTTAAATTTGTAATCTATTTCAGTTAGCCCTATGATTATTATTGATACAATTTGAATTCAGATGATATCATTTAATTGAAATTTCATGTCATGAATTTTTTGTCACCTTGTGAAAACTGCCTCTAGCATATTACAGAAACAAATTAGAAGTTGCAAGGTAAAACCAGAAATCTATTTTTTTAATAAATGAAAACATGAATGCTCTTCCATTTTACAAATGGAATTATACATTATATTATAATATTATATTAATATTATATTATTGTTGCAACATTTAAAAACAAACAACAAAATCAAGTTGATGTAAATTCATTAATTTCCAAAATAGAATAAAATGCTTTGAAGCAATTTGTAACTTACAGAACATTTTCGGTACATTGAACATTTTCACCAAATTCATCAATTTGATCATTTTGGCATTCCACTTGCTAAAAATTTAAGAAAATTATAAATACAGAATTATTCAATAAAATCATTATAAATACCTCACTAGATTCTCTGTTGCCACAACTAAAATCAACTGGTTGAACATCATCCTGAAATTTAAAAATAATGATAACTGTTTTATGCATTCTATAATAATTCTTTCTATAGATTTCTAGAAATCATATAGATGTAAATATTTAGTAATATTACATTTTTCACTTACAACACAAGAGTGTGTGAATGAAGGTGGTGATGCTGGCGATAGAATCATTTGATCTTGTTGTTCTGAAATATAATTTTGTTCGTCCTGAATGCAGTTTTCTTCTCCCAAAATATCTAATGACTCCCTTGATCATCAAGACATAAAATATCAAATTGATTTTGGAAATTTACCATAAGGTTTTTTAGTAATATGTTATTTGTGATAACACTAACAGGTGATTTAACTGAATTTTCATAAAGTATTTGCAGAGTGAAGCATTTTGCTCAGTTTCTTCATCGTTGTGGTAGAATTCTGGTTTGAATATTGTAAATTACTGATTAAATATGAGGCCACATTCTGGAAAACAAGCATGTTAATAAAAAAAAAATAAAGAAAAATGTTAAAATATGATTTTAATAAACAAAATATTATAACGTAATAAACAATCTTTTTAAATTTAATAATAATATTTGAGCACACATCTATATTGAAATTAAATTAATTTCAACATAGATGACATCTTTCAAATAAATTTTAAGATTAAAAATTAGGTGATTTAATGGCAAAAATAAATACAACATAAAATCTATTTACCTCTTGAGCATAGCATTCATATTACTCAGTGCATTAACAGGTTGATCATTTAAAGATTCTAAAAATTCACAATAATTGAAATTAGGACAACAAAGAAGGTATTACTACTATACTGAATTATTGATTTGTTAATAAAAACCCAATTTAACTTAATACTAAATATTAAATCTTACTTGTGGTGACCAACAAAGTTGATTGATTGTTGGATGTGAACAGTGGTATACTAGTCTCCTCACTTGAATAATCATTTAAACTAATATTAGGATCACTTTTGACTGATACTACATTTTGCATATTTGTGCCTTTGTAGATTGCAAAATTCCAGAAACTTGAAATAAGTTTGCTGAAGTATTATAAATAACAACTCTTTCCCCAGAATAATGATCACTTTAGTAATAATATTTAAATCTTTTGGCAGCATTATACAATTGCTTATCGGCAACACATGGTCTAATATAGCTGATTAAAATTCTGTTGTTTTTTCTTCATTAGTGCAATTGTCCTCTTTCATATTTTCAACACATTTTTCTTGTTTAGTGGTAATTATATTATCATTTGAAGTAATCAAAAAATGTGTGAAAGCTGTGGGTTGACTTTGTATCGATTCACAATTTTTCTGTAATTTTGTATTTGTTGCGATTGTATATTGTCCTACAAAACAAACAGGTCCGTATAAAAATCATTTAGTAATCAATTATTTAAAAAAAAAATCGTTTTTTAAAACATAGATTTAAATATAAAGTTACAATAAAAAATACATATGAAAGAGTAAATTGATTGATGCAGTAATAATGTATAAATACCAGAACGTTCTTATAGCAAAAAAAAGCAAACCTTAATAAAATATCAGAAAAAGTAGAAATGTAGAAGTACCCACAAATAAAATACTTACAAGATTTTCAT